ACAACAACAACAATGCTGATGCAATCAAAAACAACTCTTGACTGCTCACATTAAAAAGAAATGCAGCATAAAACCCCATGTAAAAATAAAAACAAGACAAGTTTTTGTTTTTGTTTTGTTTTGTTTTTAAAAAAGGTGACGATATCAAATCAAATTGGGGAAGGCTCTCCAAAAAAGTTTGGCCTTTAAGAGCTGGCAAAAAACAGCAAAGAGAGCCAGTCTGATCTCCACAGGGAGGCTATTGCACATTTTGGCACCGCACCTCCTTGCCTAAGTTCCTGAATCTGAGGGATTGCATCAGCTTCTCCCTGCTAGATCTAATTGGCTGGGCCAATTAGATCAGCGGAGATCTAATATTGGAGATCAATGCCTGTGTGGAGTGGTGAACCTTTCTTTGGTCCTCTAAATGTTACTGAAGTATCCAGTTTTTTCACTGATGTAATCTGTTTTCTTAGAAGATAATAATCAGAGGCAAATTAGCAGAACAGAGTGCACTGGCACAACTGTTTTTACATGATTTGTATGCTGTGGAACAGCACTTTATTTTTTTCTTTTCACTTCTGTTGTTCTAGGTACAAAAAGAAGCTTTGGGACTACTAAATTCTATATGACATGATTACTCAAAATGTATGAACTGATGAACTAAGTAACTGACCAGAAAGCTAAAAGGTTATACTGGATTCCAGCTGGTATATGCTTTATGAGAATGTTTAAAGAAGAAGAAATTTAGAGAAGAAGAAACCCCTAGCTGTGTCTTTTATGTTGCAGATTGTTAGTTACTGCTTGCTACCACCTATCTCCCAGAGGGATGCCTTATCTTGCATCCTTCTCATAATCCTAGCATGTGAGAGAGAGAGGGAGCCTCTATAGCATCTGTTGCTTTTCTGGCAAATTAAAAAGAAAAAATGAAGAAAACAATTAAACGACCACCTCCTGGCCATATAGTGACTGGGAAAATAGCCCCTCTCTACTTTCTCCTTTGTGGGAAGGTAAACCAGTCTCATAACTGTTAAGCAGAAACTGTCTTTGTTAAAACAAGGAAAAGAATTGGGGAAATGTCTTTTACCTTCAAGCAGTTACATGTGAAATTCTGCTAAAGAAATAAAAATATAGGACTGCTCAAATCACAGACAGCATCTTAGGAAACATTCCAGTAATATACAAAAAGATAAGGCTCAGCAGTTCTTATTTAGAAGCAACTCCTATCACAAGCAAAAGAAATTAAACTTAACACTGCTCTTAGCTAACTTTTCCCTATTCTTCTAGAAAATACTTTGGTATTGCTTCTGTGCCAGTTTGTTACCTGAGAAATCCTTCCTGCAAATTCTAACTTTATTTAAAAGTTGGAGGAGCATCTGAGTTCTTTCTTTGTTTCCACTTCTGCTCTCCATTTTAGCACACAGGTTCTTGTTTGTCTCCCTCCTGCTGGAGAACTGTGTGCAATTGCCAAAGGAATAAATGCTTTTCCTCTTGGAGAATGAGGGGTTAGAAAATTATGTGAACCTTTTGACATGGTAAAGCTTGATTCCATTTTTAGTCAAGTTTCAAATGGTTCCAAAACATATTTGGAAGATGTTGGTGCATAGTTTATTATTCACAGGAAGCCTTATTTTTTCAAAATATTTCAAAGAGTTTCATGAATGCAAGACAGCAGCAAAACCATTTAAACAACTGCTCATTAAAACCAGCAAGGTACACTTTGGTTGTCCCATTTATTAACATCTTTATTGGACATCAGTTACCTTTCTTTCTTTCATCCATCCATCCATCCATCCATCCATCCATCCATCCATCCATCCATCCATCCATCCAGCTGCCTTGAGGAAGTCAAGGCACCTTTTTGAGCCTGTGTGTGTGTTGATGATAGAGAAATAGAAAGATAGAGTTAGATAGATATGCACAAAAACATACAGAGACACAATTCATGGGAATCTGAGTCCATTCTCCATTTTCCACACAAATTCTAATGAGTAATGATGTTCATTTGAGTAAGAGTGCACTTACACTTTCTGTCTTAAATACTGAAGTCTTTTCTCAAAATAACCCATCAAGGATATAGACAAACTGAAGCTAATCCGGTGGAGGATAAGAAAGATTCAGATATGGAAGAGATCTTGTTTGAGATCTTCCTATAGAGGTTGAATGCCCATCTATTTGGATTTCCTGATTGAACTTGATTGATTTTAATAGTTCATTGTGATGGAAGGAGTCCTTTCATATACTGCATAACATTTTCTGGAAATAGTTGCAAAATAGCTGCTGTCATGATAGGCATTGCTAGCCATTTATTAGAAACCCAACTGTTGGGTTGTTCCCACAACCCTTCAGTCTCTCTAGTATTCGCCATCCCAGCTTATCTTTTTCATCAGGCAGATGAGTATATTTTCCTATAGTACAAAACATTTCATGTACCTATCCAAAATTATACAATAGTTTGAGGGGATTAAGATTCAAGAAATCATGAGGGAATAAAGCAGACCAAAGGGTGCTAGCAGACTTTTTTCTTGTATATCAAGAAATATATATTTGCTATCAGTCACTGAGCAAACAAAAGCCTCTTGAGAATTTCTTGAATTTCTCAGCAAGTGTGTTATAGGATGAAGGATTCTGAGATGCTAACTCTAAAGTCCCCCAAAGGAACTGTGTACAAATGGACCTAAGCAAAACAGTTTTCAGAATGAGGGAGTGCAACCCAAGGTATCTCAAGAGATGAGTAGGGAGCATCTGGCTATCATGAATAAGCCTCCAGGACAGGACCATTCATTCATTCAATCATTCAATCAAATTTATATGCTGCCCAACTTACTGTATAAGTGACTGTAGGTGGCTTACAAATAAAGTGATAAAAAACAATAGAAGTCTACAAAAATATACAAAGTTAAAAGAGAGAGCATCCTCAAACCACCAACCACCCCAGTGCTGTGAGCCTCCATTAGATCCCCATGCTAATTGGCAGAGCTAGGTCTCTTCTGGAAGGCCAGAAGAGTGGGGGCCAATCTCACCTCAGGGGGCAAGATGTTCTACAGGAGAGGGGTAACAGCAGGAAAGGCTCTTCTCCTAGACCCCGCCAGTTGGAATTCTTTAGCCAACAGGGTCTGTAGACCCTTCCTGCCAGACCAGGTGGGACGGGCTGATGTGACCAGGATGAAACAGTTCCTCAGGTAACCTGAACCCATGCCATGCAGGGCTTTAAAGGTCATAACCAACACCTTGAATTGGACCAGGAAGCAAACCAGCACCCAATGCAGCTCATGCAGCAAGGCGTTACATGCTCAGCCCTGGAGGTGCCCATAACTGCCCACGCCACTGTATTCTGCACCAGCTGCAGCTTCCAGATACTTCCAAGGGAGCCCCACGTAGAGTGCATTGCAGTAGTCCATACAGGAGATGATTAGTGCATGAGTGGCCGAGAGAAGGGCTTCCCAAACCAGGAAAGGGCACAATTGGCATACAACATGGAGTTGAGCAAAGGCCCTCCTAGCCATGACTGGCACTTGCTCCTCAAGCAGGAATTGTGAGTCCAGGAGGACCCCCCGGTTGTGCACCAGATCTGTCGGGGGCAGTGCAACCCCATCCAGAACAAAAGATGGTAAAACCCCAGATAGGGAAGAGCCTGGAACCCATAGCCACTCCATTTTACCTGGGTTCAGTTGCAGCCTGTTGTTCCCCATCCAGACCCCCACAGCCTCCAGGCACCACAAAAGAACATCCACAGCATCACTTAATTCACCTGATAATTGATACAGAACTGTATAATTATCATCCGCATACTGATAATGGATGATGGATGATCTCACCTAGTGGTTTCATGTAGATGTTAAAAAGGAGCAGAGAGAGCCCTCAGCCCTGCGGCACCCCACAAAGCAGGGGCCACGGTCTGGACCTCTCACTCCCTATCAACACTGATTGGGACCAGCCTTGGAGGAAGGAGGTGAACCAGCAGAAAACTGTGCCCCCCCCCAACTCCTGCAGCCGACCCAAAACAATACTATGGTCAACGGTATTGATAGCTGCCAAGAGGTCAAAAACAGCCAGAATGGATGCACTACCCCCATCCCGGTCCTGCCAGAGATCATCTAAAAATCCGTCCAATGCCATTTCTATCCCATATGTGGGCCTGAAACCTGACTGGAGGAGGTCCAAATAATCTGTTTCATCTAGGATCCTCTGGTACACCTCTTTAAAAGGAGCTGGGAGCACCCCCTCCCTCAAGGATGAATTAACCATCATTTGAACCCACCCATGTCACCTCCTGGATGACCTTGACCAACCAGGAGAGGCATGGATCTAACACACAGGTGGTTGTACTTACAGACCCAAGGACCCTGTCCACTTCCTCAGGCCCAACAGGATCAAACTGTTCCCAGATAACTTGGCAAGTCCATTCCCCAGACATCTCCAAAGGATGTGCACCACTCTTTGCCTCCAACTGGGAACTAATCTGGGCAATTTTATCTGCCAGATATTCAGCAAATTGCTCTGCACAACCCTGAAGGTAAACCTCCAAGCCCCCCTTATGCAGGATCTGGGTAACCCTAAACAGGGCCACCGGGCAGAAGTCTGCGGACGCAATAAGAGTGGAGAAATAATGACATTTTGCCACTCTTATTGCCATGAGGTAGGCCTTAATAGTGGTTCTAACTCATGTTTGGTCGGATTCATCCCTCATCTTCCTCCAGTGTCATTTGTGGAACTCAGGAAGGAGGCATCTTGGTTGCCCACCTGCCCTTTTAAGCAGCGTTTCCCAGAAATCCGTAAGGTTCCTATCCTGATTTCATTTAAAATGTTGTTTATAACATGGCTTTCCTCCCAGGCCTTTGGTTAGGGTGGCTGGTGAACCTTACAAGATTTTGTCTGTTGAGCAGGTTGTGGTGCCAAGAAAGCTGCATGCTCATGTCCATCTAATTACCAGAAATTGAGTCTGACTTGAAGGAATCTTTCACTTTTATCCAGAATATCTGATACACAGGAGCAGACTACCCAAATTCTGTTAGGCTGCTTTAGTGTGATGGTGGTGTGTTCTTGGGAGGCATTAGCAGAGCACAACAGGAGTATACACCAGTAGAATTGCCTAAGGTGTAAGGTGATGCCAGCTTCCCAGCTAAAGCAGGCAAGCACCAGTATTGGGTAGCTGCAATGTAGGAAAGGCAGATGATCACTTTAATGACAATGAAAGAAAGCATAATTTCATACTGCATAGGAGAAGACAGTAGTAAACCACTCCTGCATTTCACCCAGAAAACCACATAGACAAGATAAAGTGATTGTCAAGTGATTTTTTTTCCCCCAACATGGTGCTGAGGCTGGTTGTGTTAGCGGAGTGGGCATTGTTAGTTGGTGGTTTTTAGAATGTGGCAGATGGTTGGAGGAGAGGACATCTTCCTCAGATGGTGGAGAAGTCCTCTAGGTCTTCTCTCTCCTGGTCCTGGACTGGGCTGTTAGTGCTTGCCATCACACTCACATGGTCTGTATCCTAGGCCAGGGTTGGCTGCAGCTTGGGACAGGGCCACACATGGTGCCCAGAGCTTACCTCTTGTTCTGCACTGCCAGACAGAGGACTGCTTTCCCAGAGCCAATGGAAGCGAGACACAGGGATCTCCATAAGCATTGATCAGCTGTTGGGAAGTTTGTGTGCTCAGCAGCATTCATCAGTGTGGCAGTGGCAGGAAGGAGGCCTGCAGTGCCGGAGGCATGGGACGCCCTTTGTTGGCTTGCATGGAAGAAGAGAGACTTTGGATGAGGCTGAGGGAGGTGCAATTGATGGCGGCCTAGAAGATCGAACAGTGTAATGGTATGTGGGAAAGATCTTGGAGGGCTGGGCCAGAAGACACTGCCAAGGGAACAGCCAGATAAGAGACAGTATAGCCCGCAACTGGACAGCGGGCAGAGCAAGAGGCTCAAAAGAGACCTCCCTACTTTCTTGGGCTGTAAAGGGGATGGGGGATGGGGAGTGGGGAGAGAATTGTACTTTCACATTTGCAAGATTCTGTCAATGTAGTTTTACAATAAAGTAGTATTAGCTCACCTGGTCATGTTTCCTGTCTGGTCTACCTCATAAGGCTGACATCAGTCTTGCAAGAGAAGGTGGTTGTGTTGCAGCTTCAGAGGACTCTGGAAGAAGCAGATTATCTGGACCCCTGTCAGTCAAAGTTCAGGCCTGGGTATGGGACTGAGACAGCATTGATCACACTCTTGGATGACCTCTGGCAGGATTGGGATGGGGGAGGTGCATTCATCCTTGCTTTTCTTGACCTCTCGCAGCTTTTGATATAATTGATCATGGTATCCTAGACCAACTCTGGAAGTTGGGGTGGGTGGAATGGTGTTCTGCTGGTTCTCCTCCTTCCTCCCGGGTTGGTTCCAGTCAGTGTTGACAGAGGGAGAGAGATCCACCCAGCAGCCCCTCCTTTGTGGGGTACCTCAGGGCTCAGTATTCTCTCCCCTCCTGTTTAACATCTACACAAAGCTGCTGAGTGAGGTCATCCAACAGTTTGAGGTGAGGTATCATCAGTATGCTGATGATACCCAGCTTTATATCTCCACTCCAGGCTGCTTTGAGTGATGCCATGGTGGCTCTCTCAGTGCCTGGAGGCTGTGGGTGCTGGATGGAGCACAACAGCCTTCAGTTCAACCCAAGCAGATCTGAGTGTCTCTGGGTTTTTGGACCTCCTAGTTCTGGGGATCTTCCAGCTTTGGTTCTAGATGAGGGGGCACTGCCTCAGACGGACCTAGTATGCAATCTGGGGGTCCTCCTGGACTTACAGATCCCACTTGAAGAGCAGGTGGCAGCCATGGCTAGGAGGGCCTTTTCACAGCTTAGGGCTGTGCATCAGTTGTGCCTATTGTTGGACTGAGGGTCCTGCTCATGGTCACTCATGCCCCTGTGATCCCCAGATTGGACTACTGCAATGCGCTTTACATGGGGCTACCTTTGAAGAGCATTCAGAAGCTTCAACTGGTGCCAAATACAGCAACAGGTGCAATTACTGGTGACAGTTACTCAGCACATGTGAAACCACTGCTCTGCAAGCTGCATAGGTTTCCGGTGTCTTTCCAGGTGCAATTCAAGGTGCTGGTTGTTTCGTTTAAAGCCCTTCATGGCTTAGGATTGGGTTACTTATGGGACTGTCTCTCCTCAATTATTTCTACCCATCTTAATCTGACAGGAAGAGCATGCTCCAGTTTATTAATCAAAACACACAAAAAGGAACAGTATTACTTTCATAGTCAGGAACATAACAAAGACCTTGCTTGAGTCCAATGCAATCAACAACTGAGTAATATTAATTAGATTTCACAGGAAACTCTTTAATATAATAATTCAAGTTTATGCCTCAACCATTGATGCAGAAGAAGAGGAAGTTGACAAGTTTTATGGTAAAGTTCAAGCTGAAATTGACAGAACATGCAAACAAATGTGCCACTTGTGGTTGCAGACTGGAATGTGTCAAAGTTGGAAATAGGAGGAAAACATTTCAACTGTATGACCTAAGAAACCAAAATGAAGCAGGAAAATAACATCAATTTCTGCAAATCCAATGATTTCTTCATTGCTAATACATTCTTCGAACAACTAAAACAACATCTATATATATATGGATGTCACCAGATAGAACCCAAAGAAATCAAATTGACTATTATTGGTACAAGGAAGTGGAAAAGCTTAGTTATAACAGTAAACACATGGCTAGAGGCTGACTGTGGAAGAAATCATAATTTGTTCATGTGCAAGTTCCAAGTGAATCTAAGGTAGAAGAACAAAGCCAACCAGTTTCCATGATATGTTCTTGACCATATACCCACCATTTTCAAGGAGAACATCAGGAATTACTATGAACTGCTGAATCTCACTGATAGGGAACCAGAGACTGTGGGATAAAATCAAAAATGTTCTTGAGGATGAACATTTTTCACAGTGTGAAAAAAGACTGCCAAAGACCAAGAAACAGAAGAAAGCAAACTGAAGGTCAAAACAGACATAGGAATTGCCAAGAACAGAAAGAAACCAAAGCCAGGAAAGACAAAGGTCTCAGGAAGGAACTTAACAAAGAATTTCAGCCAGCCATTAAAAGAGATAAGGAACAGTATTACAACATCTGTAAAGACATCAAAGATGAAAATGGACATGGTAAAACGAGGAAAGTCTTCCAAAAGATCTCCAAATTTAGGAGGCTCCAAC